GCCACGTAACCAAATTGTAAAGTTTATGTACTCGTTGGACGCATCATTTAACTTTCTTTAATTTATTAAAGAGTACATTTTTCGCTTTGATGCATCGTTTAGGAGTTATAGGTGAAAGAACAAAAACATATCGAAAAACTCTGACTTTTTTGGTTGTAAAAAGTTTCCCCTTGCTGGCCGCGTTAGAAATTTTGTTTTTACATGTCTAAAACCATTTTGTTTTTTACAGTTAAAAAAAATAAAAACTTTTTCCACATTTTTTGCAATTTATTTCCCCTTTCGATCCTCAAATTACTGGACTAATATTCTTTAAATCAGCCACCATTTTTAAAGCAGCGGCTCTGGTATGGCAGACAAGGTTCTTTTTACTCAGAATAACACACGCTTACGTAATTTACAATCAAATCTTCGCCTATGATCGAGGTCGATTTTTGGACCCTGGCTTCAGGGCTATGAGATTTGAGCATGAGTCTATATTTGGTACAAAGCCGATTTCGATTCTTAGTGAGGTAATATACGTGCCATATAATTCTGATCCTTTCTAGTAATTTGAGATATGAATTATTAACTCTTTCTTTTAAAGATTTTTTTTCGCAAATCACCTTTGAATTAAATTATATTCTTCAGTTTGAATTTTTTATAAGTTTATATTAGTATAAGGGGTGTTATATTAGAATTCTCTTTCGTTTTATAGTGAATGTATGTTCACTTAAAAAAAGATTTTTTTTTTTAATTTATCGTTTTCCTCAACTTTTTAATCTAAACTCTAAACTAATGATTTTTTAACCATCACATTATTTTTTTTTTATGATCATGTGTTGGTTTTTATGCTATTATTTGTATATATGCATTTGTAAGGCAAACATTTGATCCTCAACAGCCTCCTTGTTAGTGGGCAAATTGACAGAACGCTATATCATTCTACCTCGCTGGAAAGCAGTTATTATTTAGATAGGCACCTCTTTTAAATTACGATGGATCACTTTCGTCTGTGGTTAGAGTATCTCTTGACACCTGGCAGTCTGATAGTTGCTTAAGTTACCACGTCTTAAATGATATATGTCTGTCATTGGTTTATTTTTTGTTAATCAAGAAATGTGTCGAAATGGTCATCATTCGATAGCTGATATGAAGAAATCATATTAGGCTATTATTATAATAGAATGAAGTTCGGTAAATGTATATGTAATGAGGTTATTGAACATTTAAAGGTTACTTAATTTTTGTGACCAATACTTTATCAATAGAAATAATTTATAAAAACAACTTTCTAGATTCATCAAATAATTTTAAATAAGATCTATCGTTATGCTTTTAAAACACTTAATTTTGGTTTATTATTTACAATAATCAACCATTGTGATCGACCAAAAAATTCAAAAACTTAATCCCCCTCAAAATTTGAGGTTTCACGTTTCAGGACGCGTAGAATTCGAAAAACGAATACATTTTTTTTTGTCCGTCCGCGCATTTTCTCCGAAACTACTGGATCGATTTTTTTTCATATTTTGATATAAAATCAGAGGTCACCCGAGGATGATCCTCCTTCATCGACATTACTCTCCGCCTTTAACTTTCAAAATGGCGGCCGAAAAACCTGCGTTGCTATTGACTGTAGCTCCTAAACGAATGTACAGATTTCAATGAAACTTCGCTAAAGTCATTTTCTGGACGCCCTTTAAATTTATCTATATAACATACTTCAACGAAAAGAAGCTGGAAAAAAAAAGTTACGAGGGATGGTAAAATTAAATTCCGAATAACTCGAAAAGTTTTTACTTTTTTGTTGATATTGTATATAGTTTTGGTTTATTATTTTCAATAATCAACCATTTTGATCGACCAAAAAAATCAAAATCTTAACCCCCTCTCAAAATTTGAGGTTTCACGTTTCAGGACGCGTAGAATTCGAAAAACGAATAAAACATTTTTGTCCGTCCGTGCATTTTCTCCGAAACTACTGCACCGATTTTTTTTCAAATTTTGATATAAAATCAGAGGTCACCCGAGGATGATCCTCCTTCATCGACATTACTCTCCGCATTTTTTTTAAAGTTTACGAAATTTCCTAAAAAAACAAGAAAAAAATCGTTAAAATCGGACAATTAAGAGCAACGATATGGTCTCCGATTTTTTTTTTTTTATATGTTCTACTCCAAATGTTATAGTTTTTTTTCTTTGTAACTCGGAAGGTAATGTTACTTTAGATGTATAATTGTTTGGAAATAATGAACCATTGTGAAATAATTTGCGGCGTTTTTAATAATGGTCTGTCCGTTCTCATATGGATAATGGGTCGATTTTGGCGTTGGGAGAACTTGTTTTGATGCTTTCTGTTGTTGAAAATTAATATTCCTACTTAAAGTGTTTACCCAACTTAATCACTGCTTATGGTGGTGCCGATTTTTAACTATCTCATTTATCGTATAGCATACTATCATTTATCACATGAAATATAATATTCATTGCTTCTCCAGTGATCTGTTAGTGGTCTATATTACGAAGTTTTACTCTTGGCATTTGATATTATGCACTATTAAGATGAGTGGATTTTAATCATTTTCCTATTAAGGAAAATAAATATCAGAGTTGCAAATAACATATTTCATTTTTAGCACGGTTTAAAGGAAAAAAAAGAGTTGGAACATAACCTCGTATCCCTGCTAAGTTTACTAAATAATAATTCAGCAAACAGCTAGGTCTGTATTGATACCTTAAGGAAGGAAGTTTTTCTGTAAACTTTTCAAAAGAAAATATTTTAATTCATCCAGTCTAGTTTTTGTTCATATTTCCTCACTCGCATACCCTACTCACCACACGCCTCCTGAGTAAAGCAAGAGTTAATTGTATGTTTGATTGATGTACGATGCGGTTTTAAATCGTGTTTGAGAAACAGAAATTACCTGTGCTTGTATCACGTGGTGCCTTGCGGTTTGAAAAGTGGTATTTTTTAATAGAATATTACTACTTCGTTACTGACCTAATGGCTTCCCATTCTAAATTTCACTTATAAATATTTTATTTTTATCGCACCGCTGAAATGTGGTTATTTTAAAATAAAATATAAAATTGTTATTATCATCAAACCAAATAACTCACATCGAAGTGATGTCTTGCTTTCTAACTGACCGCACAGTGGGACAAGTAAGGGAAAACTCGCGACATCGTCTAAATCTATTAGTTTTTTTTTAGAACTCCAAAAACTGGAGGAGGGAGCCACTTCGTGGAGTTTGTGAAATTCACGAGAATATAATATTTTCAGTTTTTTTTTTTGGGGGGGGGGAGGGGTTCTCCTCTTCCTCGCCGTTAAAGGCTATACGGGGTTTTCCCGGGCCAGGGAGTGTGGGCGGGGTTTTCACAGACTCCCTTGACACCGGGACGCGAACTCGTGACTATTTTTATATCATTTGATTGATATATCAGGTTGCCGAGCAACGGCGGTGCTGTGCACACGCGTTAGCCCATTCGCCCCTCTACTAAATCATCAAATTCCTCTCGTATCCAATCCCTACAATCCAAAATCCTTCGTAAAATCCTCAATGCTCCCTACTTCGTCACAAATAAAATCATCCATAACGACCCTAATGTACCATATGTTTCCGATTTAGCTCAATCCAGATACCTATCGCTCCATAATAAACTTCTGAAACATCTGAACCCTCTTGTTTCCAACCTTGCTTCCTCTTCTATTCCTGATAACTCTCCGAGGCGTCTGAAAAGAAGATGGCTTCGGGACCTTCTAATGTAGAAATATAATTTGAGTTCTACCAATGGGTAGTTTCTCTTCATGTTGTACATGTCATGTTATCAATGTCACATTTAGAAATATAATTGGAGTGCTACCAATGGGTAGTTTCTCTTCATGTTGTACATGTCATGTTACTTATTTTAAATTTACTAGTTGTATTTATCATTTAATACAGTTGTAAATTTCAATAATAAAAATAAAATTAAAAATATTTTTTAGTATGAAATAGTGTTTCCAGCTTCGAAACTTCCACTCAACACATATATTTCCATTTTTTTCCTCATCCTGTTATTTTTCCTGATATTTACAACTGTATAAAAAAAATACATCTAATAAATTCGTACATGGATATAATGACATGAAACACATGTTGAGAAACTACCCATTGGTAGCACTCTAAGTTAGCTAAATATAAATCTTTTTTTTATTATTTAAAAAGCACAATCTCGATACTATGTAGGTTTTTCCGTCACGTGAATTCTATTGCCGCTCTGATTAACGCAATTTTTATTTCCATAAAAGTGACCAACTTTTGTCCTCAAAATTAAACAGAAATTATCTGTGCTTGGATCATCTGTTGGCTTATGGTTTTGAAAAGTAGTATTTCAATTTTGGTTGCGTATTTATTCCTCTGTATCCCAATCCTTGTGAAGGATTTAATAGTTCGTTAATCCGACCCAAATTTACTGGGATTATATATTTTGGTATCTAGATATTTCCGTATTAATTTTATCAAACATCAGCCACTACTTCCACTGATGTATTTTCCTTATTTCTTAATAATATAGATTTGTTCTGAAATTGCAGAAAAGTTAGTGTTTTCTTTCTTAGATTTTTGAAACTTCAACTTTTGATTGATGATGGTGATGATTTCAATGACGTTAGTTGGGAATCGCGTGCCGGTGCGCTATAAATTAGGAAAGTTTGAGAGAAAGTAACTTTCCTACATAGGATCCCATCATATACGCATCATCAGGGGCCGTTGCCAAGCGGTGAACAAAAGAATTGTCGGGGAATATCTCAACAAGCTCCCGTTAATTATTATTAGGTAGGAGGACGATTATAGATGAATAGGACAATTACCGAATAGCTGATGCCTTGTGAAACTATGGAAATGAGATTGGGCTGTCGAAAACAACTCTTCCAGGGCTGTACTATTCCCACAACTATGCTTCCTGGCAGCGGGGTTTAATTTTTGAGAAAGTAGAGCCTTTTGGGCGGCCATTTTCGATTTGGCGACTAGACATGCGGCATGCGGCCTGTTGGGGTGCATCAGGTGCGGGGGCGATGGTGCGGCTGAGCTGGCGGGTCCAGCCTCCCCCCCCCCCCCCCTATGCTAGCCTACAACCCTCTGTTAGTTATACTTTGGCGGAGTGGATATGGCTCGTCCAAAGAGGTAACTTAAGTATTTATATCGTCGGTTTATTGCAAAAAGTCATTCAGGCTTTTCATAACTCAAATAATTAGAATTAGAACTTAGCCAAATTTTTCCGTTGTGAAAAAAAAAAATATTGACTTAGTGTAAATATATATGACTTTCGATTTTGTTTGGTGGGCCTATGGACAAAAACAAAAAATGAAATTTTTTAGTACTAGTAAAAGTTTAACATAATTTCTGTGAAGCAAACAAATATAATATTTAATATTGATTTGTTGATGATATATAAATATTAATATTTATTTATTATTTATGATGTAAACATATTATGTTCGTATAGTTGTAAGGGTATTTATTTATTTATTGTTTTACTTATTATATATGCTTGAAAATATCTTTAAAAAAATACAATTGAATATATAACGTATTTGTTTAGGTTAAACACGGGGTACAGGGGAGGGGGACAGCCTTCACAGCATCGGTACATTTCTAGAACTTTTTGAGCTAAAAATGAATAATGCTAAAAAGTGAAAAATACCTTTGATTTCTTAGTGTGTACAATCTCAAATAAAAATACTACGTTTCTCACTGTCTGGCTAGTTTGTCGCGGAAAATATGATAAGAATTTCACGTGAAAATTGTAGGGTGATTGAATCATAAAATCTAAGATATGTTGATATATATTATAATCTTTGAATATAAATTACAATTTAAATAAAAGTAACCCTTTCCCTGCGGAGTCTGCGCCTATGATATTTGATAAATAGAACGGTGTGTTTCATTTTCATGTACTTACGGTATTTTTTTATTAAATGAATAAAGTTGAAATTCACAAAAGCATATTTGAAAGTTAACGTTTATCAAAAACGCACTTAGCTACTTCATGCAATAAACCAACGATATATGCGTTTTTATCATCCCTTTTGACTACTTTAATTAAATAATTATCCGGTTGCTCTTAAAAGCTATTTCCTGACAAATAAAATTTCTTCAAACTTCTATAAAGAAAGTAAATAATTTTTATTTCAATTCACAATTTAAAGAAATTAATCAATCCACCTACATTGGACTTAGTCGATGCCATTTTTTTTTTCTGAATTTACTGCCTCAATATTTATTACTGGTTATTTTCTAAATTATGGTGAATACTAAAGCGGAAAATTAAATTTAAAGAAAATTGCAACTATTGGAAATAAGAAAATTTTTACTTGTTACGTAGTATTTAAGTTCAGAAACTAAAGCTTGTTACAAAGTTCAGCAGGTATTTTACATAAGCAAAATACTTGCTGAACACACCTCTTTGAAGAAGACCTGTAAAGTCGGGTCGAAACGTTGGCTTGAAATAAAATAGTTTTCCCACCATTTTACTCTATTTATGACCGCTACCCCGGATCATCTCCTTCCTCTAAGGCAATATTTTTTTTCGTCTTATTTGTTTGTTCTCAGTGCTTTATAACAGTTTCAGTTATCGAAACTCACAGATGTTAAAAGTTTAAATTTCAAGTAACGAAATGTGTAATATTTTACCGAATTCTATCATTCTTTATTTATAAAGTCTTTCTGGTTCTCCTTATGCAGGTTAATTTATATATTAATATTAATCTTGATTAAATAAAATATAAACCGAACAAAGTGATGTATGAAGTGATGTTTATTAAAAATATGTTCGGAGGCATACATCCATGAAGCTGACCATCCTGGTACTTATTTCAATTAACTAGACATATTTATCTTCAATTTAATCTATTAATTAAGTTATCCACTTTAAAGCTATTTTAGTTTGTGTGTGTTTACTTGTATCTATATACTAGATCAATTTGTTTCTTAGACCTGCTTAAATTTTTTTTTTACTTTCACTTACCTATATATGTAATATACAATAAATAGTAGGCACGTGCGAAAAATTCGCAGAGCATATTGTTGTCAAATGCCAAATTAATAAGAAAATAAAATAATTCAACGTATGAAAAGATAAAGAAATCAAATCTTACTTTATCGATAAATATAATCGACAAAGAAAACCAAAATTAATTTAAATCTTCATTTTTGTTTGGAACCAACATGTTACAAATTTCAGTAAGCTGTATCTTTGCTAAAAATTGTCCGATTTGGGTGATTTTTTTTTCTTTTGTAGGGAATTAAGTAATCTTTTATATAATCATGGTCACAACCAAAAACTGTGTAATTTTTGAGTGATATGCAAATAAAGTTTCCTTCCTTCGTAACTTGTTTGCCTGAATTTTCGAGATGATTGGACTATTTGGCCCGCCTGAAGGAGAAGGAAGTCTTCGAAATTGGTGGCTCAATCTTGAGATTTGGTGAAAAATTAACAATGATATGGCTTGCCGATCAAAAACACCATAGATAAATAATATAAACTCCTCCTCTATCGATCACAGAGACTTCAAGTTGACGAAATGAGACATGTATTCAATCACAGTGCTACAATTAATGTAAGGTTCTGGATGCGAACCGTAGGCCTTGCGTTATCTCGAAAATAGTACGTTTTTTGGCTTACAAACGCAGGATCCGATAGTTCCGGAGGAACTATCCGGGTCTTGCTGCACGCATCAAAATCTTCAAGATCCATTTTGTCCCGTATCGATCTACAGAACTACCACCGTTCCAGTATTGAAGCCTAGCAAAATGTTTGTCGACTTTATTTATTTTAGAAAGAAAAACAAAAGTGGAGAATACGATTCGCTAAAACCCGTGAAATTCTGAATCCAACGGTACCCCATTCATGGTATTTGAGCATGACAGGACCTTATATTTGGTACAAAACCGATTTCGAGCCTTACTGTAATATTATATGTGGGGATGTGGGGATGGGGATGGTTTCAATGGTTGGGATGGAATGTGTAAATCCATCGATTTTTACGATTTTCTCATAAACGGCTCTAAAGATTTTGATTAAACTCAGTATATCAGTATACTATTAAGCAAATTTTAATATAATGTAGGTTTTATTCTCATTGATGCCATCTAACTGAACTTAAATGGTTATTTTTCAATATTAGCTTTCTCTAAAGTACCTTTAATTTTTTTCGTTTGAAATAATTAACCATTTCACATTAATCTTTGGTATAAAAAATAGTTAAATATAGAATATGAAAGAATTTTATAATTTACTACAGAAGAAATAAGAGATCGTAACGAATAAGAGTTATAATATAGGAACCAAAGGGATGCGCCTGAATTCACCCGAAAGATTAGAATAGGCTTCCATATGTAACATGAGCTTAATATAATACGGACTCCGACAATATTATGTATATATATATATATGCGGTTTTCATAAATGGAATCGGAGGTATTATTTAGTACTTAATTGTATAGATTACAGCTATATAAAAATTAAAATTTGTATACCTATATAAAGATAATTAAACAAATAAAAATACCCACAACGAAATGTAAATAAATATAGCGTCTATAATTTTTACTTTCGTGGACAATTTTGTATGAAAATACTTATTTCTGCTAAGAAGAGGTTGTAAGTGAAAGTCGTGTGATGCACGTACCAGATTTTTTAATAACAGTCCAATTTTAAAAAGTAGTAAAATATTATTTTGTTTATTCCATCCTTAATCAGTCTCATTATAAGTCAATTATTTTAATTAGACCAGTCTGTTGATCAAATTAAGAAGAAGCGACCTCGATACAATTTCAAAATTCTTTGGGATATTTCTCAAAAAACTGGTTCGGTTCTTTCAGCAAATAGCCTTCAAGTTAAATGATTGAGGTTATCTCATTTTTAGATGTTCTGTTGATGTCTCTTATACAATACTATACAGAAATTAGGTATAATTTTAATTTTTCAAAAAAAAAATCTTATTTTTTCCAATTATAATGAATAAATCCATTAAGTTCGTTGTGTTTTTCATAAATTTCTCTAAAACATATTTGGTTAAAATCTATCTTTTTAAAATTTTATTATCACTATTATAAAATAGCTCCTTTATTACTCTGTATACACAATTTCATTTTATTTTATTATTTTCAATAACAAACCTGTGTAATCAAACAAGGAAATAAATTAAACATCCCCTCAAAATTCGAAATTTCATGTTTGAAGATGTCAGAAAAAAAAAATCTCACCGGACGCCCGTTCGTGGCTTTTCCTCAAGACCACGGATCCATATTTTTTCCCTTCTAATTTGCCTCCTAAGTCCCAGAATTATTCCTGAAACTCGACATCACCATCCGCCATTTTATTTCAAAATGACATCCGATTGAAGATTTCATATGCCCTTACCTCGGACATTTCTAAAGATAGGGCAAAAATATAAATTGTTATATAGTCATTATGCCAAAGAACTCGACAAAAAAAAAAGTTATTTTCTTACTACTAGAATAGAATAGAAAAGAAACTTTATTCTGAGACAAAGTCTCCTCAGAATAACAATGGTGAACAAATAAAATAAGACATATCTGGCCAAAAAAACTTAATAAAAATTCTAGCAATATATACAGTAATTTAAATAATAAGCACAGGCGGATGTACGGTGGGAGCGGTTTTCGGGCTGAAGTCCCCATCCCTCAAAATGGTAAAATTTAACCATGATTTATGGAATAAAAATATTAAAAAAATATCTCTTATAGTATTATTACTCGTGTAATTACATTTAATAGATTAAACGATAATTACATTATAGATAAGATACTTAATACCTGTTATATGGTATTTAGTTCTTTTCAATGTAATTACACAGTATATACTATAGAGTATTTTTATATTTTATTCATAAATATGTTACATTTACATTTAATGATTACTAAATCTCATACATCTGTATTATTATATATATATATATATATATATACATATATAGGAAAAAAAAAAGCTTTCGGCTGGCTGATCCGCTAGTGATAAGTAATAAATAATAATGTGTGAACAACTAAAAATAAAATAAAATCCTTTCAAGAATAGTCATAGTTATAATGTGGAAAACAAAAACAAACAAACAAAAAATATATATATTATATATCATAATATTTTTTTTTTTTTTCGGTTGGCAGTACAGACCATGAAGATCTTTGGCCGCGAGATGTGGTCCTTACAGACGTGTGATACTTGCGGGAGCTCAGATAGCCTGGAGAGGGTCACCCAACCTCACGTTGCTATGAACCATGGTTTCCATGGTGAAGCGGCAGGCCACCCGTAGCTTCATAGCCGATCCCTTTGGGGCCAATCTGGCAATGTCCTTCCAACTGACTTTCTCGGGTTCAAGGACAGTGACAAATCGGTCTAGATCCATGGATTATTGCTGCTCGGAGTTAGCAGCCGCAAGAGGACCTATATTTCTTTCCCCGAAATAGACCGTCCATGGACCGAACCTCAGGGGGCTATTAATATCCTGGTAAACCACATCCCGATTCCCGATTTAAGTACACGGGATAGGGTTCATCAGTCCTACGCCCGGTCGGTGTGAGGTGACTCCAGTAGTTTGACGGGCTCACATACCCGGGGGAGGGGAGATTCGGGCAGCATGGCTTTCCCTGATGGACGGTCACTCATCCAAGTACTACCCACACTCGACGTAGCTTAACTTTGATTACCTATTGCAAGCACCTTAGCCGCGTACGGCTACCCCAACCCCTTATATGTAAATATCACTTTGTACAAATTGAGCACCTTGTTTTTGCATTTAATTTATGTATTTATATTCCCAATCCACGTAGAAGGTAAGTATAAATATCTACTAGTCTTGTATAAGCATTTTGTTTTTCGTGGTTGATACTAAATCCAAATAACCCAGAACCGTGTAGTTGGAAACTGTATATTTCTATCAAGCTTCAAAGTCAGCAAGAAATCGGTCAAGATCCAAGGATTACTTGATGGATTATTGTCCAGGTTCGACAAGCAGCCTAAATCGTATATTTTTTTCCTGATACTATTCGTTCACATGCCGTTTCTCCGGATTTTCTCCATAACTTCTTAAAAACATATATGAAATCCTTCACTCCTCCAGAATGCTGAAAGCATTCCTGTGTAACGTAATTAATGCTCATAGAAAACGATCACTCACGTTTTCTAAATATTGACCAAATCAGTATCGACCAACTGTTTTATAAGCTTTATATTTTATTTTTTTATTAACTCAATCAGACAATGATTCTTGAAACAAAAATTATTCATCGCTCCGTTAGGACGGTGTATATCCAGGGTATACTAAGGCTCTTAAAATATTTTTTCTGCTTCTTATTAAGATGCTTTGGCTCATTGTGGGAATGTAATAGTGTGTTATAATACCTGTGACATATGAAATAGATCATTGTGTAATTTACTTATTCCTCCTATATAAAAAGAATTCATGTTCGCTGCGTGAAAACTGGCGGCTTTCTACGTGATCTTGGCATCTATTATCCAACTTAATTTCTCTGAGACAAGAGAACACTGAATACAGGTTCATGATTAGGTGATAATGGATTGTTACGCTGGATTGTTATCTTCTATCATCGGAACAACCTTTCTTATTACTGTTGACTTAGTTTTCAATTTCGTCGGGATCGTGTAGCTATGTGAGAAAGCGAGCTTCCTTCCAGTTTGTATTAGGACCGTAATTGTGGTTGAGCTTTAATTGTTAACTAAAAAATGATCCTTTGCAACTTTTGTTGTAATTGTTATTGAGTTGTTTGTTCTTTGCATGACATTGCGCCTCCACTGTCTGGCTATCTCCACTATCTGTTTCAAGATACTAGAGGTGTTATTTCAAATATCTTTATTTTAATTATTCATTAAAATACTTATGAGTAATACACTAGACAAATCGAGTGGTTTGGGAGAAATCCGTTCCACGTAAGTGGAAATTAATCAGATTTTTTCATGATAAACAATTATTTTATTTTTTGAACAATTGTTATTTTTTTCTAATTATGTTCTCAAAACTATTGATTTAACTGAAATTGTTGTAGTGCCAATAAAGGTCGTAGTTGTTTTTTTTTTTAATGTCAAAGAGGCTGCTTTGATATTTTTATTTGTATGCCAAAGCCGTTCTGTCCTTTTTTTAGATTTCAAACAAGTTTATTTATCATAGATGTTTATAACTCCCTTATCATAAGTCATCCAGTATTGCGGAATAAACTGTTTTAATATGAAATATTTAGAAAAATACTATTAATTAAGTAAAATCATTTTAAAAAATTAGTCAGAATGCTAACAATTTGTCTTTCTATTAATTGGCTTACAGATTTGTCTTGATAAAGACTCCTTCTTTCAATATATTGAACATTTTTTTTAGCATTATTAAAATTAATAATTATCTGTTGTTTTTTTTTTTTTTATTCAATGCATATTTTCTTTTTCTTGTTTTAGGGAAGTAAAAGTGCCGTAGGAAGCGGACCTCCTTACTACATGACCCACAGTTTTCCTCCCGGGGGAACATTACCTCGGACTGGTGGACCTCTCCTTCGGCCTTATCCTCCTCCAGCAAAACCACCTACTCAAGGTTTGTAATTTTTGTTTGTTTTTTCAAATAACTACTGTTTTATTTTAATTCACGAGGTCTTGAAAATATCATACCAATAAAATAAAAATAGCATAATTTTTTAACCCTTGCCATAATGCATGTAGATGCACCTGACTTTTAATAGATAAAAATTATAGCAGTCAAAGCAAAACACCATCACTAAAATTACTTTTCGAATTTTATTTTTCTAACTCTTGATCTCTTGTAATTGAAGTCTTGTGATTTCCTAAAAACTTTTTGCCCAAAAAATATCCAAAAATAATGAATTAACTTTCATTTTAGTAGATGGTTATATGTCATCTCCTGAACGTGGGCCTAGAGGCTATGGAACAGGACCTGGTTATCCTGGCTATGATGATCCATACTACGCACCATATTCACCTAGACCTGGAACCATCACCCCAGTTATAGACGAAGAGGCGAGGTGAGTAAATGTTAATTTGTAATAATAAATTATTTATGGACTTTCTGATAGTTTTCATGTTTATTTGTTTTAATTAACATAGTGATGAGAATTAGAGGAGTTTTTAACATGGATTTAACAAGCTTTTTGTTTTATTCTAACATACTTTCTGAGTACTCACTATCCTAATTTATATTTCTTTGATGTTTATTTTTGAAAATTTAAGAAAATTGAATTTTTTTCTGTAAGATTTAGTAACAACTTAAGTTCATTGTTTTGCCTTTCTATTTAATTCAATTTTACTTTTAATTTGCTAATAATGCCACCTTTCTAAACCACTCAGATATGACCTATTCCATTCCTGATAATATTTATCTAATATTTAGTTTCTTTATGTTTGTATTTTCTTTATAAAGCTTTATTTCCCTTAATTATCTTAATGAAAATCAGTTATGTTTGCATCATTAGAATTTTCAGATTTAGTTCAGTTTTGTATTTCTCACATTAATTATTTTTGTTATATAATATCTCGTTTCTTGTACGTTGTTTTTGTTTACATAGTTCAATTATACTACCTATTAATGGAAAGATTTGGAATTCTCATTTATTTTACTGTTTTCAACTTTAATGTTATAAATGGATGAATGGATTATTGTTACTATTGTGGATTTTTATGTTGTGTATCAAGTTTTTTTTTAATTTAAAAGAGGATTGGTATAAAAATTATCAAAAATGTTGACTCTTTTGTTAATAATCTTTTAATAGATATGGTTTCGACAACTTTTTCCTCTATGCTTTACTTGCCTTTTTTACTCTTAATTCTAGGCTCAACTCACATGATTTCCTGTACCTCTTCCCAGGATTTGTGAAAAGGGCATCTCTGACTTTGTTTTTGCTTCAAGTTGAAACCAAATATCAGATATAAAGTACTGTTATGACTACCGACTCTGGAGTCATCAGCGCCTGTGTCTCATTTATTGTTATCTCTGGTGTTATGAAACTCCTTAGCAGAAAAAATTAAAATTAAAAAAAACCATATTTTATTAAACAGTCTATGGGTTTCAAGAAAATTTAATACTGTTTTTATGTCTGTTTCATTATTGTTTAATATTACTGATCTATTTGGGCTCTAAGATGATCTATTTAGACTTGTACTGTTGTGAGGCCATTTTGAAAAATATTGTTGACCGCGAGAGAACTATCACAGTGTTAATATCTATAGGGAGTGTGGTAGCTCAGTGGTAGGGTACTGAGCTTCCTCCAAGGTTTGAACTCCCACTCATTGCAGAAAATTTATTTATCTGTTTCATTGGCCGTGGGACGACCCTGGGTCGGGAGACCCTCCTGGGGCACGCTCAGCCTCTATAAAGTGGGTACCCTTAATTAAATAATTGATTAAGGGGGAAAATCTGGTGGTTGAGCGTGATCTCGGTTAAATTCCCTCCTTGCACATCCGTTGACCTAGAAACAGTGCTTTCCCTAATTTGTACTGAACCCCAGATCCTTCATAGGTTGTAGTGGTACAGGTTTTTTTTTTTTTTTTTTTTTTTTTAATATCTATAGGTGGCGGTTGTTTACTAATTAGGTATGAATAAGTTAGATTTGTATGAACGATTTTCAACCTAGTTATGGCATCCTCTCTGCAATTAAGAAAATTTGATGTGGTCTAGGGCCTTACTGATTTTTTAATACCTTATAGTTTGCTCAGTAGGCTTTAGTCTGGACTGCCAGCTCTCCTATATTTCTTTTTTGAGTAGAGAACTCATTTCTGGATGATTTAAAATGGCAGTGCTTCTACTTGGGACCGTGAGTGCTTGTTTGGCTGCCACATCTGCAAGCTCATTACCAACTGTTCCCACGTGACTAGGGATCCATATTAAGTTAACAGATTTTTCCTAATTTTCAAATATATGGAGTTTACTTGTGATTTTTTAGGATAATGGAATGTGTTTATATTACAAATTATTTAAACATTTAATGATCTTAAGGAGTGGCTTATTAAGACTATTGTGTTTAGAGTTATTGACATACAGACGTGAATTCTTAGACTATTACATGAAGTTCTGCTATATATATATACCACATAATTCATGAAGTTTTATTTTATATGTAGAGTTGTGGGTAACAAAGGAAGACACTGTGGTATCATTAGATTTTGAACCATCAGTATAATTTAAAAAAAGATTCTGGAATACTTTATAGGAAACGAGAGAATACAGATTTTTATTCGGAAGGTGAGGTATTGTTTTGGAGGGATTATGAATCCATGGTGGGTTTTAATTTTTTGCTTTGTGTGTAGGTATGTTCTTAAGGTATTGAACTGCTGAATAAATTCTTTCTGACAGTGGGAGTGTGGAATAGAGTTTTTCTAAAGGCATTAGAAAATTTTGGTTTAAAGACATAGTTATGGGTAGGATGTTTATTAGATTATTATTTTAAAACAGTATATATTATAGTATTAAACCTTGTCAAAATCTTCCTTTTTGTTCTAATTAACTTTTCTGTTAATGTGCATTAGGGTTTATGGTAGCCTGTATTGCATTGCCCTAATCCATTATCATGTCCTCCAAGCCCTCTGCTTTTCCTTTATCTTCTTTTGATGGCATCACTAATATAATCTTCCCACTTCTTCCATTGATCATACCTTACTTTCCAGCTGCCCATCTAGCCAGATGTTCTATTATCTTTTCAAATTTTTAAATTCTAGAAATTTGATTTGTCTTTGTTCATGACATTTTAATTTGACCTCAGTGTCTAATGTCTTGAATTATAAAGTTCTTAATTGTGAGTTTATAGTTGACGATAGTGAATAATTGAAGAGAAGGCCTGATCTTCGGGCCGAAACGTCGGCGAATATAAAATAAATAAAATTATTTATTTTTTACCATTTCAATTTGACTGAGCACTGAGAATTTTATTTCATTATTATTTTTGGCAATGAGTATTCATGATTCAGAAAAATGTGGAAGAATAACAAGAAGTTTTAATTAGTTGTTTTTATTAACACTTCTTTGTTATTAATATATATTCTTTCAAACAGTTGAAAAAAAAATCCATTTACCTTGTATAATACCAGCATTTATAACTGACTTGATCATTAACATCATCTTAAAAATCTTAACTATCTTTAACATTTTCTATTTATTATGATTTATTTTCTGTGTCATTGCTGTTTTTGATTTATTCAGATCATCAGACTCCTCCATTTGTTTTTTGTCAGTTGTACTGTTTTAATGCACTTTCGAAAAGTAATTTGTCTAGAGAAATGTATTAAGTTTCCATCTAATATTCAGTACAACAATGTTTCTGATAAACTTTTCTGATTTTTCCTCAGTTATAGGAGGTATCCATTCCAGTATTTTTGAATAAAAGTTCAAATTTTACAAAGTTATATTCCTTATTGGTTTGAAAATTCCTTTGTTAAATATTGTGACTGTAATAGTTTCTCTCACCCTAATGGACTTCCTCGGTAGGACAATAGCGTTTCTTACTTTGTTTTTAAACAAATTTTGGTATCACTATGGTAAAGCTGTGATACCTGCTTTGCCTGCGTCCATTTTTCCCAAGCCATTGGTATCTCAGGTCAGTTCACCAAAACAATACAACAAGCGAAAAAAAATTAAAGGAATAAGATCTTTGGCCAGAATCTTTATAGTTGTTTTACCTGCTTTTAATTATTTGTTATCTGGAAGTTGAGACAAGAAGGATGATTCTTGAGTAAAGTCAATTTTTTTTTTTTTTACACATTTAAGTACACTTATTAAGATGGTAAATAATAGATTCTCTTTTTTAAGCTGAGAAATACAAGAGGAGCTATTTCTATATTCATTGAATTTCATTTGAGATAATTTTAATTGGCACTAATTATTGATAATGTCTTTTTTTAAAAAAATAAATAAGCTTAAAATAACATCCTAGTAAGAGTTGCTATTACTTCACACTTATTTATATAGATTAATACTCTACTGGGCTTTTTTTAGCCCTTTTAAGGTTTGAGTGGTTTGAGGTAGGACTTTGCATGTATATTGGTGATGGTTGTATAGCGATACGGAGGGCCTGGAGGAGGGATATGGTGGAGCAGGTAGGGGATTCAAGGTGGCTCCTCGAACACCTGTCACTGCGGTCTTCCCCCAACAACAAATTGACCAGACCAGGTGAGGAAGGATCTTCATCGGCATTTTTCTTCTATTTTAATGCTTAAGAGCATGTGCTTTAACTTTGACTGTTTTGTTACTGTAATTTGGCTACAAGTTTTTATAAGTCTTTTGTCTTCTGTTAATTTCACTTTGAAAACATTTTTCTCTAGAGGTGGGAAATAAAATAAAAGAAATAAAATACATTAAAGTAATATTTGTATTGAATTGTCGGTGTTATGCGTATGATTTTTTGTTCATTACAATGCATTTTTACAAAACAATAAGGTTTTTTTTGATATGGAATAAAATTATTTTGAAAAATATATTTATTCTGCAGAAAAAAATCGCATAATGTTATATCAGAAAAAAACATTATACCTACATAGTTTTTCTTTTTTTTAAATAATAATTTACTAGTGAATATTACCTCCCCTTGCTTGAATAATTGTCTTATACCTTCTTGGCTCCAAGTTCCACAATGAGGATTTCTTTGCACTTGGATTGGTGAATATTGAAAACCTTCTTTCCCTTAACCCACATAAATCGTACTTCCTTGTGGTGATATTTGACTTCTTTATAAGATCTATAAATTCTCTCCTAGCCTTTTCTTAAGTGATTTCTCAGTTTAATGTTATACCCTTACAGTCCATCGATGTTAACCATATTTGATCACCTGAAAATACCACATCTATCGAATTCTCTGTAATTCAGGTTTAATCATAAGATAATTGATTACCTTAGGGAAAATACAGTACAATTTAATTTTTGATTTTGGTATTGTATAATATAAGTTTTAATGTATTAGCTCCGACAGATAAATTGAATAGTCTTTACTGTTTAAACTAAGAAGAATTACTGTATTTTTAAAGAGAAAATTGTAACTTAAACTTCTTCTTCTGAAACAATTAGGTTTTTTTCTGATAAAAAAATTATAAAAAATTACTGCTCAATGGAAACAGGATGATGATGGAGGCAATAAATTACCATTTAATTTTTAATCTTGTCATTTCATTCCCATTCCTCATCTCCGTTTTTCTTCCACTTGTTTTCCCTTACATCAGACCTTATAATGCAACCTCAGTTAATCTAAATAATTAGTGAAGGAGGGGGGTGATGTTCAATTAACAAGATTTTCAGATTACAGAGATTATTCGGGAAAACTACATGTAACAAAATATTAAAATTCAATAAATATCGGCAAATGGGATTCTGCAATATTGACTTATAACCTTTATTTATTTACATCCCTACCTAGCCTATATGAGTGGTTTCATATCAAAGATGGACATTGCCGTTTTCAGAAAGTGGAGAAAAAGTCAATTTTTGTTTTATAGGTTCAACTTCAACTGTTTCTGATGATTTTATTTAAGAATGTTCAAGTTAAATTATGAAAAAAAAATATATATATATATAATGGCTTTTAAATTGAAGGTATGTTATAGAAAATGGGATTTTTCTCAAATTTTTAAAAATGACAGATGTCCGTCTTTGATATGAGGCCACTTATATGGCAATGCGGGACTTGGCAGCAGTAGAACTTAGCTGAATGTACATACCACTACTGCCAATTTTCTTCTGGCTTCTTTAAATTTTCTATTTTCTTGATTTATCTTATATTATACTTGTGGGTCTGGCTGTCTGCCACATCTTTATCTTCAGGTTCTGAGGTATTGACATATAACATTGCTTATATGTGTGTATATATATATTATTGATTATATAGTTCTAGTAGTTATAATTCATTAAGTTCCATGCTCCATTTTAAGAATTTTCTTCTTCACTTCCAGTGTGACCTCTATTTTAATCTGTGCTTCCTTTCTATAGTGGGTCTCTTTCTTTCAAGATTAAAATGGACTAGGCTCAGTGCTATTTTCCAAAATCTTTGAAGTACGGTTGGTATTTTTAGTCACCAACTGTGAGAAATCATTCTCAGAGAGGACTGTGAATCCAAATTCACTCAGCAGTCTGTACATGTCTCTAACAATATGCTCAGATAGTACATAAGGGTTCAAAATCATAAAGCTTAGCCTGAAAAACCCCATGCACTATGGAAAATTGTAAAATCCAGCTGTCTGAGATGACCAGTTTTGTTTCTTAACGTAACTGATCTGTCTTGCTGAAGTTAGTTCCTTTCAAAGTTGTCACCCACTGCTAGGTTCCACTCTTCATGCGAGAGCCAACCTTCTCTTCAAATAGCATGAGACATTCTAGGACCAAGTGGATGATCCAGAACTTCAGATGATCCATAATAATACCTTTATTAGTCAGGGATATCTCAGTAGAGTGCTCCCATACAACTAAGACCATTTAAGTTTAGGGCTGTCCTATTTTCTCTTCTGAACCTTATGCTAAGGTAGGTGACCCTCTCACTTGGACCTATTCTTATACCAATCCAATGCTGATAGGTATTTGGAGTGTCTGATTCATTCTTCCTCTGAGTAGGCTGGCCTGTGATTAGTTGCTGGGTGCTTTGTACTTTTGCAAATGTACAAATGCAACCTGACATTTTTGAGATAGTATGTCAAAGAGCATGATGATATATTGATCTCCTTTCTATTCAGCATCCGTGCTTACTGTCAGCAGTGCATCTTTCCCTTCTAGAGAAGTCACAGACTGGTGATGTTTTTGCAGAAAGTATCTCTTATCAATAAAATCATTGAAGATTCGCAACAATCTCTCTTCAATGTAAGGAACTGTTCTTAAAAATAACTATAAATACACCATCGAATCCTGAAGCACGACCTGGTCTAGCAGAGATCAGCAGTATCCATGGCAAATCGAATATCTTATATATCCCATGTTAGGCGCAAAAAAGCTGTTCTAACAAGTATACTTGTTAACTTAAATGGTCTTAGTTGTATGGGAGCACTCTACTGTGACATCCCTGACTAATAAAAATATTAGTACCTCTCACAAATCCCTCCTCTTCTTTGTCCTAGAACGGATGATCTCTTTGGCACGTTGAATTTAAAAACATTGAATTTGTACATATAGAAATAAATTTGCAAAAATCCGTTATTTCATTTTTGTTGGAAAATATTCCTCATTGCTTTTTCAATTAAATGTATAAGGATTTGTTGATATGGAATATTGTTTACTGTTTTCCATGAAATAAAATGATTGAAAGGAGGCAGTGCCTCTTGCTGTAATGCTATTCTATTTTCATAAAAGAATGTGAGAGATATTTAGTAAATAGCATTGGGAAAATTGTATAATTATGTTTGTGTGAGATACTGAAATTCAACTTGGTAGATGTCTAATGTGATTCAACCAGATCTTTCATTAAAGATTTGTCTCTGTCTCTATGCATCTCATTTTTCCTTTCTTTTCTGAACGAAAATTTCTGTTCATTCTTACTTTCCTGAGGTAATTTATTTTAATTTTATTTATTTATTTTTATTTTTATTTTTTTGCTAGTTTGAATCATTAGAATATTAAGAAACCATTTCAATTTGTTTTTTACTTTCATCAATATGATTAAAATGTTTTTATTCAATTATCTTTATAATAAGCTCTTATTTTTATGAAATCCTATTTATATTCATTCTGATTGTTAAATAAAATAGTTTTAGTCTGAAACAAATTTTATTTTGTTGAAGCTAAAGTTTTAAGTACATTTTTGTTAATTTCAACCTTATTTGAAAATCCAAAAACACAGTAAGTGCATTAACATGACATAAATCCTATTGAATATAAAAAATGGTTACTCTAAGTGCTCACGATCTGATTTCACAGAGAAAAAATTCATCAAAGTAATTAGTGATTGACGTTTAGGAAATGTTTACAATAAAGACACAGTATATACTTTCTTTGCCTCCTGCCTATTACATACTTTGTTTATATATATGTATATTGCAACTCTATCATTATAGCCTTTGATAATGAATAAGATGAATTGAAAAATTAATTAACTTCATCAATTAAATGCTGATGGGTAATAAATCTTATATTACACGCAAAGTATATAAGGCTTTTTCAATCAGAAAATCCTAAGATCTCTTGAAAAATTTTAATTTAAATTTTGAAACGTCTTCTGTGTAACACTGTGATTCCTACTATTGTTTGTTATTAGTAATAAAAAATAATTTCTTATGTCACATTCATCCTACAATATTTGTACAATTTTAATGTTATTATAATCATTTTATTTCGTAACACCCGATTACTTTTAATTGCATTATTTTGAAGCATATTTTATGTTATTACATAAAATATATCTATCTTAAGCTCGTGTATCTATGTATCTGTGTGTGTGTTCTTAAGTGTATGCATGCAAGTGAGTGTAAATATATGTATATTGATATTTAAGATACTGAAAGATTAATTATGTGGCAGGCTGAGGGTGGAGCACATGGAGCGTCAGCTGGCTTCATTGACTGGTCTCGTGCAAAAGGCTTTGACTCAGTCAGTAGTTCCTGGGCCTCCAGTCCCACAAACACCTTCTCTTTACCATCGTTCTGCTTCAGGTAACTTTTAAGGAGTCCCATATTAAATATCCACTTATTTTCCTATTAATAAATAATAAGCTTAATTTATATTTCAGATGATTTTTATTTGATCTTACTTATTTCAAATTTTTACTGACCTGAAAACATCCTCATTATCCAACTTCCATTTTATATTGTTTTTTAAATTAAATTATTATTACTTTAAGAACTTTAATCTTCTTTCCAAAGCAGAAAATTTCTTTGTTTCAGTTGTGCTTCATAATATTTTTATCTATTTGTTACCCCACTACTAATATTAGTTATTTTTGACTAATCCTGTTGCTTATAGTGAAATGTATTTATGTTGTGAAAATTTGTGGTAGTATTAACATTTAGGTATAATATTTCTAAAGATTTAAGATATGCATACTTGATATGAATTCTCCATGGTGTTGTTATTAGCCTTCCTTTAGACCAAAACAGACAGAGGGTCCATTCCTGGTATTTATCCTGAAAGATTGGATCTCAAGAGGGTTTTATTTGCCGTCATAAGGACATAGGGATAATCACGCAACTACTCAATAATGCACTATCATTTTATACCATATGTGTGTGTGTATTATATATTACAGGATGTCTCAGTTCTTAATGGCTAGACTTTGGGAGGTGATTCTAGACAAAATTTCCAACAAAAAATTTCATTTGATTTATGGGCCAATTTCGAACGACAAAGGAGTAAAGTCTAATTTCATTTTTTATTAAGGTGATCACGTTTTCACTTTCATAGGAAGCGATAACATAAAAAGTATTTAATTCAGGTAATTACAAATTTCTTTATAGTAAATTAGACAAAATTCCTTTCAAATACAAGTAGAATATATTAGTGTATTATGAAAATACAGTTTTTATTATTAAACCAATGTTTTATTAAAAATATAGAAGAGAAAACGTGACCATCTTAGGAAAAGATAAAAGTGGACTTAACTCCTTTTCCGTTTGAAAATGCCCCATATTTTGAAATACCCTTAAAAAAGGTTTATATTCTTGAAATCTGCATTGAATTGAGTTCATTTTCATTCGACCCTTGTTTTTTTTTTTTTTTTTTGTTCTTTATAATATTGCAAATACTCATAATCTAATACATTTATATGCAAATTAACATTACTGTTAATAAATAAATTTCCTTTTGATTTTCTCTCAAAATGAATCTAATAATATGTTGAAAATTATAAATCATATATAGATTAGTACCCCTTTTTAGTATGCATATCTTCTGGTTTATATTATATTTTAATATCAAGTTATCTATAATGTAGAAGCAATTATTAAACTTAATATAATATTGATTGAGGTTAAAATTATTTTGAAATTTCTGTACGAAGATATATGACAATATAAACCTTGTTCCCTAAAATTTTAATAAATAAAAGATATAACATTAAAATATATAATTAGTTATTCAAATTTTAGGATACAAGGTTGTATGGTTTTATATATTTATTCATTAAAGGGTTTCATTACAATTCTTTAATAAAATTGTCTAATTTTATGAAATATGAGAAAATTTCTGTTGTATACAAAAAAATCTATCAACTTTTCCTGAAAGAGTGTATCTCAAGAGAGTTCTATTTGCCCTCATAAGGTATTTACAGTTGGTTGTATTGCTGGCTACAGATCATAGAGGTTCGATTCCAGGAAACCTTAAATATCTTTTTAGTATTTTACAAAATATAACAGTGTAAATATAAAGAAAATTTTTAATATAGTATAATTTTAACTAAATATTAAATGAAAAAATATAATGGTATTTTATGTATGCATAAAAATCTTTGCCTTGTTGGAACTAGTTTTATCATATAGACAATGTTTATAATTGTATTAACTAGGTAATGCTAGAATTAACTGATAGCTAGAGTGGATATCACTTTTTTTTTAATTTACTGTTTTTATTAGTTAATACTATTACTGACTAATAATACGTTCAATAATAATACATTAACTTTTGTTATAATTAATATTTTGTAGTTGTCTTCATTATTGTATGATGCCTTGGTATTAAGAAATTTTAGTCACTATTAATTACAAAACTAGTTAAAAAATTTTAAAATAAAATATTAAGTGGAACCTAGAATTATCTTACAAAATATTTTAATTCTAGTAGGTACTATAGTATACTGCTATACTATAGTACTAAAGTAGGTACTAGTAGGACTCTGATAATTTTGGTGTTGACTAATTAAGAGTTATATAATAATTATAATATAATCTACAATTGAATTGTAATATTAGAAAATAAAGAAGAGAAAGAGAGAGATTGTATGGGAGAAAGAAAGAAACAGAGAGAATTGTTTTTCAAATCAATAAAGTTAAAACAAACTAATGATGCTAAGCTGAGAAATCCATCTCAACTAAAAGATATGTATTGATAAAAAATCATTCCCGAGAGTAGAGAGATTCAAATACATCATCCACGATAACTTTAAAAAATGACCATTTGAGATAAACCAACTTATGACAAACACAAACAGAAGAGCTTTATTTTCGATTTCTAGAGTAACAAAATCTCAAACAATCTCTAAAAAAATTCAAATTAAGGATGTGTAATGCTATGATAAAAACCAATGCTGATATACACTTTCAAGCCATGGACAGTAACCAGCTCTCAAGAAAAAATTTAAAGATTCAAGAAGAAAGTCCTTCACACTGCAACCATAGCAATCTGAGATAAGGATATATATATATATATATATATATATATATATATATATTATATATATATATATATATATATATATATATATATATATATATGTATATATATATAAAAAACTTACGATCGTCCAAACAGCAAATAATAAAAAAAAGAAAGAAAGGATGCGAAATGACACACTCGGTTGCTTGATAAAGACTGTCTTTATTTTCCTAGTAATGCTATATATATAGTATTATGTCTTGTTTACAATCAATGGATAGAATTAACTATTATAGTCTTACCTCTAACCATAACTAGATAGATAGAATGAACAATGATGCTTCTGAGTTGCCTTTAGCAAACTGGAAAGCAATAGACCACAAGGCAGAAGTGGAGAAGGTGCCCAAAGATCTACACAATGTGTCAAATCTAAAATAGAGGTAAAAAAAAAATGGAAAAGATATGGAGACATATTTCTAAAGGATATTTTCATATTCTTTCATCAGGATAACTTAATTCTCTGGCGAAGTATTGTATTGAATGACTATGTTGAAGTCAGGCACCTCTTATTTTATCTTATGGATGAACAATAAAACTTAAGAATTCCTAGTTGAATATAATTACTATATTTGTAATTTGTAATCTATTATATTAAATTTGTAAATTGTTGGTTATATTTTTCTACTTTTCTGTGATATCAATTCTATTCCAAGTTCTTGGATAAATTTTTAAAGTTGTTCTCTTAATTTAAGTTTTATTTTTGAGATGTAGTTCTCTTAATTTAAGTTTTATTTTTGAGATGTAGGGACAAATTTTATATGTAGATAGATTTCTCTACATATCAGTGGTATAGTTAAATTTTTACCCTAACATTTAACATAATATTTAATTCTGTTATAAGATATAACAATGTCAGCTAATAAAGTATTGAATATGATTGTGTCAAAAGTTTGTGTGTAGCTTAATTTGGTTGGTAGCCGATTTATATGTCCTTTCTTTGCTTTTCTATTGAAACGTGTTCATGCTTTGTCATTTCATCTTTTGCTTAAAATTCTGTTAACAACTTGAGGGATTGATGTATGTGGCTTTTTGTAAATAGTCTAAGCTTAATGATGTTTTGCTTAATGTACATAAATGTGACTAACACTGTACACTTGGGCAAAGGCTTACTAACACGTGTTTTGTGTTGCACACAGTATCTGATGATTTCGACAAACACTCAAGCTCAAGTTCAGCCTCCCTTCCAGGTTAGTAATAATATTTTTGTTATAATTTATAGTTTTATATGTAGTAATTTACATAATATCTGTTTGTTATGAGTGTGGGTTTTTGTCAACTTTTGTTTCTTGATTGTTGTGCAAGGCTGATATCCATTCATCCAATACATGTCTCATTTCTTATTTAGGTTGAAACTAGTGGAATAATAATTTAATAATCATGAAGTGTTATTCAATTGACAAAATAAGTTTTGAACAAAACCGTATTATTTATTCACACCAAAAAAAGCAGACGTGTTCAATGTTTCTTTTCTTAATATTTTTAGGATATTTAACTTGAAATATATATACATACTTTTTTTTTAAGGGGAAAAGAGATTTGATGAATCTTTTGAATTTAATTACAATTATTAATTTAAGTCTACAATTTTGATGATACTTGGTAGGAACTATGGTCCTAAAAAAGTTTATATATAAAGTATAGAATTTACTTCTGGCAGTATTGTTTTGGGATTAGTTTCAGTTTGCCATGAGAATCTATCCTGTATAGGTTCCTTCTAGCATTTAGTATAAATTACAGTTTGGCAAGTTAGAGATGCACTTCCTCTACCTCATAAGTTGCAGCATGGATTTCCGGTATCCTCTTGTGTTAATGTTATTTTATAAGTAGGAAATAAACCATTTTACTTGATGATATTTTTTTGGGGTCCTCAGGAAAGAAAAACACACAAATAAGTAAACTTAGGTTGTTTAACTAATTAACTTCTTTAACTTGCCAAGTAATAGATTATATTAAAATTTCAAAATTATGTACTAATTGATGCATTTTTTATTTATGATTATTTATAAAAATATTGTCCTATTAATACCAGAAGTTTCTAATGAAAAATATAGAACTTTAAAATCAAATAGCTGACCAGAATGAAAGTGGTTTCAGTTTAACAACTTTTGTATTATTAATTTTTTTTTTATGACATATAAAGTGTAAAAATACTAATTATAAATTTTTGACTTATATCTCAATAATTAATATATATCAAATCTGGCTCTAAAAAGTTATCTTGTTAAAGAAAACAAAAAATAGATGACGTACACTACTTAAATCTAATGGGCGGTTAGGTATGGTTTTC